TTACAAAGTGCAAACTCTCTTACAGAGAGCTGACTACTGTAGGAAAGAATATATTGTGTCACCCTGCTGCTGAATGTGGCTACCAGAAAATAAACGGGCAGACGTGGGCTTCTGCAGTCTTGCCTTCTACCAACAAAAGTGCCCTAAGATTCCCACTGAGGTCCATTACTCATGGAATGATTAAATAGTTTCCCAGGTTCAGTTGCCTTCCTGTTTTCCCCTTCCTGTGATGAAGTGCAAATGGCCAAATCAGTGCACACGGGCCAAGCCTAAAGAGGTAGGGCAGAAGCCAAAGGTTGCTGTAGTTTTATTCATAGCTATTAATAGACATTGGGGAGGGAGAGAGGGATAAGGGAGAAAGAGAGATTCCACCAGCAAGCGTGAATAAATGGGAGATACTGCAGACCCAGAATGAATGGGTTTTTAAAAATACAGGGCAAACCATGACTTAGATTGATTTGGGCTGAGTGTGCTTTGCCTGTCCTTTTTCATTCTATCGCTGATGGTGGTCGTGGGAAGAAAGAGCCTCTGGTTTCAAGGTCCAGAGTAAAATAAACAAAAGTTAGGGCTGGGGAGCTTGAGGAAGTCACCCAAACCTATACCTACAGAAAAGGATTGAGATAATTATGTGCTGTTGATTTTTAAAAGCAGCTTATTAAATTAAATCTCCCTGCAATAGGCATTGGTGACTGTCAGCATTGAGTGTGTCCTATTACAGATACTGTTCTAGAGCTATTTGCACCCCTGCCCTAGTATCTGATTTTATATACTTCAAAATGTCATTAGTGCAGTCGAGTGACTTTAGTTCTATTGACAACATTAATTCTCTGCCTGTACAAACCAAAGGCTACTAGGGATAAGCTGATTTTTGTTTATTATCTCACAAGACTCAAGATTACACTAAACTGATTTTGGTATTTCTCCCGTCAACCTAATCGTATTGGACTTCTCCTCTTGACCAAACCATTAGAGTTGAATGCCTCCTTGTATTATATTTACACCCCAAAAAAAGTTGTGCACCATTTAAAATTACGTACAGCAATGCACAAGTGGGTGTATGTAATTGTGCAGGCTTAAACTATTAGTAAATTGAAAGGCTAGTGTGAGTGATCATACATGTCCTTTAGCTGAATCTATTTCTGAGTGTAAGTTTAAAGATCTATATCTCTTCAAGCACATGATTAATTTGTTCATGCCAGGGTTACCAATGGTTTGCGGCCAGCACCATGTCAGGCAGACCTCAGCAGGTCTGAATCAATAGGGTCTTATGTTGTCACTGTATCATAATTTGGACTGTCCCCTTCCTATTAGACTTAACAATCAGATATCAGGCAAGGCTGAAATAACAAGAATAAATTCTAAACAGAGAAAAGACACTATTTTGCAAAATTACATGGAAGAGAAGTCTAGAACTTCAATCTATATTTATGTGTGTGTGGATACTATCAGACATTATATATATTTTTGTTTGAGAGTACTAGAACATAGCTACTTGTGAAAAGTCTGGGGCCCATACCATCTGAGCATCTTTTAAGATAGCTGGTACTTTTGTTTAGGATCAGGCAAAGTAGAAACAGAATCAGAATGATCCAAAAATGATGCACACCAATTCTAACCCACCATATTGCATGGTTCATTCTTGCCAAAAATAGAATAGTCTTGTGATGCGTCCTTACTGGACACTCCTTGTCTAACTTTTCTGACTTTGCTTGTTAGGTCTTTTGTAAAGAACTCCTCCTTCCCTGCAAATCTTTTTGTCAGCACAGTGTTCACAGACATCTCACAAGTTCAATAGAAGGAGACATCTGTGAGAAAAGTATGTGACTTACCAACACAGGGAGCGTGTAAGGGGCCACACCTCCAAGGAGAGGTCCACGGAACAGGCAGGCCCTGCTGTTAGGAGGCAGATTTCTAAAACTGTGTGAACACTTTTAATATATCACTGCTCCTCTGGGAACTGGCTACTCCTTTTCCCACTTCAGAAAACACATAATGGGACTTTGCGTTTCAATTTAATGTCCCTTGAAAACAGAAATGTTTCCCCTTATAAGAAAAAGAAAAAGTAAAGAGGTAGAGGAAAGGCAAAAGAGAGCGAATCAGCGAGTCTCCAAAATACACTGGCTCAACTAGGGAACTGCGACCAAAGCAAGCTCCATAATAGTATAATGACCTTTAATGACTGTCTTGGGAAACAATACAGCCCCGGCATAAAAGACAAAGGGCAAAACCCATCATGGTTCTGCTGACACTAATTCAAGATGATTTTCAGAACAACTAAAGAATGTAAGAGAAGTAATCTGATCCACCCATCTGACCTCACTTTGATGCAAGGGCCCTTCTGCTGCCATTTCTAATTGTCAAACCCTCTACGTCTCACATCTGTTCATATTTAATGAAAAGCCCACTCTCACCACTGCTTTTTGAGGCAACCAGCCCTGTTCAATGGGCACCACCCAACCCCACCACCAGCCAGGGGAGGCTGGGGATTGCTATTGGAGCTCTGCCAGCGGAATTCTGCATAGACATAGACATCCTTTAATTGGAGAAGAAGGGCTTACGTGGGCCCATGGAGGGGCTCAAATTGGAATGGATTTTTCTAACTTATTATTAATGGTCAAAGGTGAGTGGACTCACACAGGGATGGATGAAATCTGCTTTTGTTTGATGGAGTGACGACGGCAGGGAGGCTGATGAAACAGAGGAGGCGAACCACCCCCCTGAGCTGTCAGTACCAGTTACGCCTTCGACATACAGCCCAGAGCTCCACATTCACAATGGTGGGGCTGATGCTGGATGGGTAGAAAGACAACAATCTCATGCCTGGGAAGTTTCTGAGTAGATGGGACAATCCCACCCTTAATTCTTCTTCTCCTGGCCTCCATCAACACTTGGATTAAATTGCAGAGCTGAGAAATCCCTCCAGTTATGGTTTTGCCTGCATAAGATGGAAATTGCACGTACTAGGCATCATGGACCTCAAGCAGGGGACATAGATTTGCTGTGACTGGTAGAGGCGGCCAGTGCCAAGACATGACCACAGGCCTGAGTTTAGAGCCTGAGTGGCTCCTTCCTTTTCTCCACTAGATCTCTGGCCAAGGTTTTAGAGCCCGGTGGTTACTTCAAAATAGAAGTTGTGCCTTAGGCAGGTAGCCAAGGGGGCTGGTGCTTACATTTGCTGCCATCAATCAAAGAGATGCGGTCAAACTGGAGTTCATTAGAGCTCACCCCTCCACCACCCCTCCTCCCCAGCTCCTGTCTCTGAACCTGGTGTCTTGCCACACATCACAGACAAACAAGTTCTTTGCATGGTTGTGACTGAGTTCACCTTGGTGGTGTCATATGAACTGGAGAGATCTGTGATGAGGAGGATGGAGTAAGGGCACATACTGTGGCATCTAAAAGATTTCAAAGGAAATTTCCCTTTGAGGATGTTAGGCCACTGTGATTGGGACAGTCCAAAATCCCTCTCACACTACATCTATTCATTGTCACTGTTAAAACAATTAATCCTGTCCCTTGGCACTGTTCTGAAGGAGCAGTGAATCACAAACCAGAGACAATGATGATTCTCTGGTCCAAAGGCCCCTAAGACTGCTCCCAGCACAAATAATGTCTCAGACCTCAACTGTGAGTTCAGATATCGGCACCGGGCTTGCCACACTCTGATGCCACACTCCTCATTAGTGAAATGAGGGCTCCCTCAGCCCAGGACACCCCATGGATCCCACCTTCAACACTAGCATGTGAGCCAGCTAACTTCTCATGGGGATAAATTCTCAAGAGCGAACTGCTCTTTTCCCACCCTGATGCCAGTATGAAGTAACTGCTGCTGGTGAAAATTTAGTTGAACCAGCTCTGGGCACTTAGAAGAAAAGATAATGGATATTATGGTTACCGACAAATACGGCGGGTGCTTTCAAGAGGAAGTAATGAACACAGAAGGAAGGATCGTCTTCTACCATTCATGCTACCAAACAAGGTGACAGCCACCCTTGAAGGTATCCAAGTCCTCACGCAAACCATAACCTCCTCTGCCCTTAGACGAGGACCCTCAGTGAATAAGCTGGAACTTTCAGTAATATCACCTACGAACTATGCCAGTGAAACACCAGCAAAATCCAGGCTAAAGGCGAGGAATGGGGGTGTGGTGAGGCTCAGACATGCCAACTGCCACAAGACCACAAGACTCTGTAACACCTCTGAGCTTGTGGGGAGCAAAGACTGACCCCAAGGATTGCACAATGGACACAAGGAAACCAGGGAGATTCTTGGCTTATGCTGTTTGCTGTTATTCAGAATCACGATTGCTACAAGACAGCTTAATTAAACAGGGGGCTATATTTTTGGAAAAAAGGAAGTTAATAATGGACTGATCCTCTGAATGAATCATCATTGGGAGGAAAAACTCTAGAATCTACCAGCCTGTAAGGGTTGGCAGATTCAGAATATTCTTTTTCAGAGCATTAGGAGGCAAACCAGTACTAGAGGAATGAGATACAAATTAGGGAGACATTGTAAAGAAAACAAAAACAAAAACAAAAACCCATCTGCATGGAATCCCTGTTGTATTTTGGAAAGTATCTAAACTCACTAAAAGCAGTTTTATGCCAGAGTTGGCTTGTTCTCTCTACATCGTTTTCCTACCTCCTTTCAACCCAATCCAATGCTAAACCCTTTCCCCAAAGAGTAAGGTATACATTTCCATGCATCTCTGTATCAATTCAGCATTTGATGTGCTGTCACATTAATTTCTTGAAAGGAGAGAGGAGTAATGTCACTGGATTATAATATCACAGCCTGCACACTCTTACAAGAAACGTAAGTTCACAGAACAGGGAGGGAGGCCTCCCCAGCACACATACAGTGACACGGGCAGCGAGGGCAACACGTCACCACATCCAGCGGGAGAAACACACACGGCGCCACAGGCACGACACAAGACGGGGATGAGGCCACGGACATCACAGACACGGAACTCTGCATGTTGGGGTTAAACTTACAGGCACGGAAAGTGGTGGAGCAATCACTAACAGAGACAGAAGAAAGTGGGAAGGCTCTTTCAAGGGTGTCCATGTTACCACGCACACGGCCTGACATGCACGAGCAGTCACGCTCAGAACGTCCGCAATCAAAACAACATGCTCGTCTCATTCTCTTGTAGATGGACATCTTGGCTATAACCACAGGGGTCGGATGGGAGGAGAGGAAGAGCGGTAGTTAATGGCAAAGTCACACACAGCGAGGCAGCTGGAAGGGAGCTGCAGGGATTGAACACAGGTCTTAGTTCACATTAACAGTCTTGACCCAGAAAAAATAAAATGCAGAGAGACTGTTGGTAACAGTTTGGTTGTACATCGAAAAGAGCAGAGGAAGTATCAGTGGCCTGTAGAGTCCTCCAAGGCTGCTGCGTATTAGTTTTCTCCCCTATGTAAAGCAAGTGATCACATGAAGGGCATGGCTGATGACAACAGGGTTGTTGGATAAGAAGCAGCACACGTTAGAGATGGCAAAAATGCAACCAACATTTTTTTTCCCCTGGCACCATTAATACAGGAGGACAAAATATACACACAGCCCATCAATTAGTTCCTTATTGGGTGCAATGAATTTTTTTTTTTTTTTGCAAGATGCAAGAATATCTAATATGTAGGCTTTCTAATTTCCATCCATTTCTGGGCATTAGGCAGAGGCCGGGACAAGCTTTCATCAAATTAGATGTGAAACGATTACATGTTAATATCGAATCTGAGGATGCCTCTGTTGAACTTCCCCAGAGTGAGTTTACATGATGCCTACAGGAATTTAAATTTACTCTTGACAGAACAAATATCCAAATCTGTCCATGTAAGAAACGCAGCTACTCAAGGCAAACGCTGCATATCTGACATTAAAAGCATTTCACAAACAAGAAATCACCAGAAGCATATGAGATGTTGGTCTGCTGGAATGCACTAAGCCACTCATGGGTGTATTTTCTGCTTACAGCTCAGAGAATTTGAAAATCCCATCTGCTTTTCTCTCCCCACCCACTGAAAATTCAGAAAGCTGTAGGGTTATTGGTTAACAGTAATTTTTTCCTATACAGAAAATACTGGCCAGCATAGGTGAGAAATTATAAAACATGAGATGAGAGAATAGATCCCACATAAAACATCTTACTGCAATCTGCATGAGGCCTTGATAGCTTGTCTTAAGCTACTATCACAGGTTCTGCACTGCCTGGGAATCCAACTTGAGCACTAACCTACAAAACTTGTTGGACCCCAGTTATAGTTCTCAAGGCCCTTCACCTCCACCCTTCAAGCCAATTTAGATTTCAGTATAATGAGAAGCTTTTGTACCTCATTTAATGGTACAGCAGGCAAACATCATGACTCATCCTTAGCACATGCCTGCCTGCTCCTCTCACAAGATGGGAGAATTCATGTTTATTCCAAGCATCACAGCCAAATAGTCAGCTGGACTGGAGAGGTGTTATTCCCTGTGCCCATACCTTTCATTTTGAAAGTCATTTTTCCCCCATTTTTTTTTTTCTTAGTGGAGAAATGGTTGCAGTCTTACTTTAAAATATGGCTAGTGGTTTTGCCCTCTTTGAATGTTACCGTCACTAGGAAGAGAGGTTTAAATCTCTCCAATGGGTCAAGTCCTGTTCTAAGACCTTTATGACTTGCCATCCAGTCTATTTGTCAAGCAGGGGGAATGTTATGATTGTGAAGAACAGGCACTGGGGGAGATGAATGAGAGATCTCTTCAGCAGCAACTCCATTCCCGTGATCTTCGCTCACACTTCTAGTGACAGGTTCTGTTAGCATCCTAGCTAGTCAGTTGTTCAGGTCATCACCATGCAGCCCCAGCCCGTTCGATGCGTCATTCCTGAGCTTAGCTTTTACAAAGGAAAACGGAAAAGAAAAAAAGAAAAAATTCCACTATAGCATTTGAATCAGAAGAATTTAGAAGGCACTGTATGATTGCCCAGACACCCCAAACAGCAGTTGTTGAAGTCAAGAAAGGGAAAACAGTCTTCGGTGGAAGACACGAAAATCAAGTTATTTTAAATGCATCCAGATCTGGTGCCCAACTCACAGACCACTTGCTTGCTTTTTCCTTCTCAGTTCTTTTACTGGAAATACTGACTTGTTATTTACACAAGGGAAACGAAGATGATTTTTTGTTTCACTGTAGATAAATTGTTTTGAAAAAAAATTTTAATCAAATGCTGTAGCAGAAGAGAAGCCCATCAAACTCTGAAATGCTATGCTTCTCATTAGCAACAGTGCCTGGTTTTCGTTTTCATACTGCCATTTTGGGTTCATACACAGTAATAGACTCTGACACATTTATAGGCAAAAAAAAGTTCTTATATGTATACCGTCTTTAAGGACAAGGGGAGGGAGAAGGGGGTGGAATAACTTTTGAAATGGTTTTGTCAGGGGTAAACCCATCATAATGGGTGATTGAAACCTCCTACTTGATAAGGCTTCAGGAGGAAACACAAACTTCAAATCAGTGCCTCTCGGGGACTGTTTGCGATTGTTACTGTTGGCTCTTCTGGAGACCATGCATTGTTCTAAAATTTCATAGTGTTAGCATGCAGGAACAGGCTGAAACTGGTAATCAAAGCAGCAAAAAGGAAAAAAAAAAAAGTTTTGCTATAAGAAGATTAAATGTTAATTGTCAGCACTCACATTCCAAAGCAGCATATGCATAAGAAAGAAAACATGCTATTTCTTGTCATTCCTTCCCAGTCATCAGTTTTACAGTCACACCAAATCCAAAATAGAAATCTTAGGAGACAAAGAAGCACCACCACACACACACACACACACACACACACACACAAATCAGCAAGAGTGGTCAATGAGAGGCTCAAAGACAAGACAGAAACAGTTAAAAATGATTGAGCCCCACACGCTGATAAACCTTTGTGAATTACAGCGTCTAGACCAAGGTGCCACCAATTAGGAGGTTGGCACTTTTGTTTTACTTCTCAAATAGTCCATTTTCACTGATCCCCCATCAGGTGTCTTCACCTATATACTTCTGGGTCCACTTTCTTAAAAGATAAGGCCCATTCTGACCTCCTTCTGGTGATTGTGATCCATCGAGCTTGAAGGATGCTATGTCCCAGCCAGGAAGAACCTTCCACTGGGCCATGTTATGAGTCACAAATAGGCTCTTTAATTAAAAATGGATGAGAATGTGTCTCTCTGGTAGTAGCCGTTCCAGGAGAAGTATATGCTCCGTGTGTAAAATTATACTTTCAAGTCGTAAAATAAAATTATATCAAAATTAAGCCATGGATCTCCAACTTTAGAAAACACTGTCCCTCAACCTCCTCAACTCTCTCTCTCCTTCCTAATCCTTCATTTTTGTTTTAGTGAATCGAGGCTGTTCAGAATTAGCTGGTGTTTTTTATTTCCATGTCTCCATGATTGTTTCCTCTTTTAGAGCTGATGTAGGTTCAAAGGTTAATTTTATATATCATAGTGCCACTTAAAACTCCCAAGGTTAGGTTTCAAAGGGCAATTGTGAAAGTTTCAGTATTTATTTAGAACAGAAGTTAAGTTTCCTATCTACTCCCTGGCCACATAGAGTGCCCTCTCTCCTCTGGGGTTTGCTGATTTTCTTTTTTTATCTAGTCACCTAATGCTCTCTCCCCCAATCGCCATCCTCAGAAAAGGGAGTTTTCCACAGGATCTCAATGGTAATGCTAAGTAGACCTGTAAGGACATCTAGTGGATTCGTATGGAAGAGCAGCCAGTTAACAGACCACCCGAACAAGCTGGGTGAAGATGCTGCGTGCCTCTAAGAACTGAACCCTGCAGTGTCATTTCAACTCAACGGCTTCTCCCAATCCACAGAAGATTTTTAAGGGAGAGCCAGGATGAAAGCCAGAGAGGTGCCAGGACATGGTCCTAGAGTGGTCAAAAGTGGCAGTTTGTGTGAGCTGTGCAGTCACGGCCCAGAGAGCAGGACCGCTACGGCACCGGCTGGCTGGGTCTCCTTAGAGCCCTGTGATAGCTTCCTGAGACAGGGAGCAGACAAGAGTGCATCACGGAGAGTTGTCCATGATGCAGCTACATGTCATTCCATTTCAGCATTCTTGGAACTTTATGCTCAATTAACTGTCCCCATCAGCTGGCTTAACTCTGGGAATGCAGAGAAATATAAGCCCCTGGAGACTCCGTTTTCCCTTTGGCCCACATCATAAGGTTCTTGTTCTTGGACTAGTGCCACAGATTCAAAGAGGTTATGTGGTTGCCAAGAATTAGACCCTAGGTCTCACCTTTCTCCCCAAGAACTCTGTTCTAGCAGTTTTACAATTTGAGAAAAAGCTTTTATGTCCTTTCCTTCACCACGATGAAGTGCATATTCATCCAATACTTCCATTATGACTTCCTGGTGCTATTTTTAGAGGCAAAAGTATTTTCCTCATGGACATCATCAAAGCTGTTTACTCAAGTGTTGAAAACTGGAAGATTTCTCAGACATACTCTTGGACAACTTTTCTTATACATGCAAAGGTCTTGATCATGAGAAAGGAAACCTGTAGAGAAGGGGCTGCTGTAGATTAGCTTAGTTACTGCTCTTTCCTTGTGTCAAGCTGACAGTCAGTTGTCAAGTTCAGGTTCTCTGCTGGTTAGCCCTTCAGAGCCAAGCTTGGAATGGAAGAGGGAGTTGGATTCCATCCCGTTCTCACACCATCTGCCTCCTGAATCAGCAACCAAATTGTCAGCCAATTTCCAATTGTAGAATCTTAATTTCCAGGGTGGGCTGGAAGGGGCAGGAAAAGCAGTGCTGGACTAAAAGCCTCAGGTGGAGTTTTCCAACTGCTGGGAAAAAATATTTTAGGTTTCAAATGGAGCAATTTGAGGCAAGACTGGAGTGGAAGAAAAAACAAAACAAAAACCTGCTCTTCAGTTCAGATTGGAACTTCATGTTTAAAATCAGGAAGGCTGAACTCTAGAACTGCTCTTCATATACTTGGCAGCAACTTAAATGTTAAGTCAAAATATCCGTGGAAGAAAAAGTCCACTGAGGGGTAAGACGGAGGCATCTGTTTGATGGAACAATGGGAATCCGAGAGCATTCTTTCAAGTCCTATAAACAGGGAGTGATGTCTTCTCTTGGTGAAATTCTCCAAATAGCTTCTGGAGGGAAGAGAAAGACCTTCCCAGGTAGTTTTCCAGGAATGGAAAGAAGGGAACAAAAAAGCTGGTTAAGGACAGCAGCAGAGAGCACACTGAACTAGTAGGGTGATCCTGCCCTTAACGCTGCACTGCGGCTGGAGAAGACAGAAGGATTTGGCACTAGCGTTGTTGCAGACTGACACCACGGTTTCCCTCCACTAGATACAGTAGGCAGCTTGGCAGGAAGGAAAGCCATCCATGTCCTCAACCCATTTTTCAAGATGTTCTGCAGAAAAAGGGAGCCATGGAGTCAATTCTGGCAGAATTTTGCCCCAAACTGAAGGTCACTTTTGTTTTGTTGGTACATAGAGTGTACCATACCCTCATACGACTAGCCCAAACCAGATGACCAACTTTCTTCTTCTTCTGCAAAGGAGTAAGAGAGAACCAGGTGCAGAAACAGCTTCTCCACATTCCAGGGCTGCTGTACTGAACTGGTCTATAGGTTGGGTCTCTTGTACACGAGTAAAGATGGATGCTTGTTGCTGGTGCCATGGAAAGCAGCACTATTCTAAGGCACACACGGAAACACTGGCCTAAAAGGTCCTCATCAATTGCCACATCTTGCTGGGAGAGATGGTCCAATTCCTTGAGTAACACAGGGCTCAAAGACTTACATTTACTCATCCAGGTGGGCTTCTACACAGCTGATTAATCAAATGGAACATACTCTCTGAACCATCCCTTTCTGCCTTAAACAAGTAAGCAGATTTTGCAAGATGTCTAGGTATACAGGAACTAGGTATGTCCTAGTGGGTATTGCTGAGGGAGAAATTTTATTTTAAAGCAAACGTATTTCACAGACTATAGAAAATAATTACCACTATGGAAATACTTGTCTCCAGTATGGCAATTTAGGTACTTACAGTCCCAAAGCTGGGTGTCCAATTAATTCTCTCTCAAGCACTTACTCGTGTAGAGAGGCATGTATGGTGTAGTAAATACATCACTCTCTCTATATCTCTATGCTTATATATAAAAATGTACATTTTTACATATAAAGTATTGGTACTTATCATATATATATATCACAACATGGGAATATATATGTAGCATATGTGTTTCCCTCAGGATAGGAATTCAAGCTTAATAGCAGAGGAGACCAAGTATAATTTATCAAAGGCAAGCATGACAATGACCCCCAATTGATGAGGCATCTAGAGCTAGTGGTAATTACCTCAGCCGACTCAGTGTCCCCTCAAGGTCCCTGAGACAAGGCCTTCAAGAGAAACACTGTTGTCAAGGTCTTATTTTCAAGTGGAAAAATAAGACAATGCCAGAAGCTGGCAAGAGGTTGGCAGGGAGGGGGGAGAGTTGGGGCATGATGTCACTGCTACATGCAACATGAATACCAAAAGAAAAAAGAAACTGCAACTGCACAGAAAATAAAAGAAGTATCTCTTCTAGAGAAAGACAGGGGGAACTGGACTCTGGGCTGCTGGGAACCCATTTTACTCACAATATATCACTACCAGTGTGCAGTTAAAATAGAGTAGGGGCCGTATTCCAAGGCAGCAAAGAGAAAAAAAATAAATCAAAAATACGTCAATGATTAGAAGTTAAAGAAAATTCCTTCAAAACACAGCAATTTAGAACATGATTTGTCCCCAAGGAGTCCACCTTTTGGCAAACTTTTAGAAGCTGGGGGAGAAAAAAGGAAATCATTAGACTGGATTTGTTACACAGAAAAAGAAAATGAGTAAATAGCAGATTCTGAGAACTTGCTCCTTGGCCAGACAGCTGAATTTGACTCTCTTCCTGGATGGAGAACTATGAAAAAATGGGAAAGAATGCAAAAGTTAAACTATACTACCACAAAATTTCCAGAAACAGAGGGTCCACACTCAGTATTTCTCCAGGTAGTATGACACAAGACGTTTAAGACTGAATGAAGGTGAATAGGGATGTTGGCATGGGGTGGGGAGATTTAGAAAGGGAAAAGCGAGGTTGGGAGAGGAGGGTTAGGAAACCATAAAATCCAGTGATGTCATCAGCTCTGCCCTCCCAGAGACATATCATTCCAGGATGAATTATTAATACCTGGCCTGCCAGGTTTGGACAATGGAGCATGGGGCTGCTGCCCTCTCCAACTGAGGGTTACAGGCAATGTGTGTTCAAAGGCAGGAAACCACCCCAACTTGCATGCATTATCAAAACTTCTAGCTCCTTCTAACAGAAGTTTCTTTGCAACCCAAATCTATCTTCCCCAATTTCCTAACCTGCCCAGTATGCCCAGGGAAGTTCACGTTTAATCATTTATTTTATTCTCACCACCCTGCACACATATGCATCTGTATCCCACCCGCTGTAACACAGGCTGCTCTGGCCTTTTAATGAGGAAGAATGGTATGTGGACAGTTCTGATCGTCATCAAGCATCAGCCTCACAGCTGAAGGCCTCCAGGAGGCCCAAAAGGGGAGAAGGATACAGAGGGAGGGAGCGAGGCCCTATCTCACTGCTTGGCTCTGCAGGGACAGTCCTTTTGTAGCAGTCTGGGCCACCCTGAAGGATGGGAGATAGTTCGATTCACTAGCTGAACCAACGTTAAAGGTAATGAGAGTAGAATTATTTCAAACAATTACGTCCCTCTCTCTCCAGGATGAAGCTAAAGTCAGCTGCCGCTTGCTTGCCTGGAATCAAGGTGGAAAAATATCCTAGAGTCCAAACTCTCATCTCCAGGGACTTAAAAACCTGTCTGCTGGGTTCCACATCAGTGCCCAGTGAGGAACATGTCAGCATCCGAGCAGGAATCAGAGACGCTCGCTCATTCCCTGCCATTTCCATTCTAGCCTCCCTAGAGCCTGTTCTCTGTCTAGTCACCAGGGAGATTCTTTAAAACAAGAATTGATGATATCATTAACTTGCTTAAACTCTTGTATTGGCTGTATTTGTTATAGGACTAAAACCCAAGTTTCTTCCCACAGCCCCTGCCTGACCTCATCTCCTACCAACCTCTCCCCGACCCCACCAGCCTCACTGGCCTTTCTGCCTTTGCTCAAACACCACCAACATATCCCTGCCTCTGCCCATGCTGTTTACCTGGACTGGATCTCAGCTTCAGCATCATCTCCCAAGGAAGGCCTTCCAGACCTTTCCAGCTAAAGCAGCATCCATACAAGATCCCTCACACCCTCAGGCAGTCTCCTCTCTCTTCAGAGCACCTGTCTCTCTCTGAAGGTATTTAATTATTTCTATACTCACTGCTTATCTCCATTCACTAGAGTGAAGGCTCCAGGAGGGCAGGGACTGTCTTGTTCACTGCTCCCTCCCTGGCACCAAGAATAGTGCCTTGCACAAAGAAGGCACTCAAACACATGTGAATGACCAACCGACAAGTGAAAGGAGCCTTGCCATTTCACTGATACCCTACAGGGCCAGGTTCAGTGGCAAGTACCTGGTCAAGGGTTATTGGCATTAATGCTCTCCTGCATTCCCCAAACCCCTCCACTACAAGGGTTTTCTGACAAGGGTTCATCCTATTGTTCCTCTCTCATGTACTTCTGCCTTGGGATGCTCTGTTCCTTCTGATGGAAGTGATCCAGGCGATGCCTGGTCAGCTGAGCTGTGTTTCTGTGTTTCCAACGAACCGAGCTGAGCTGAGTGGGCACACCGCTCAGTGAGAAGGGCCTTTTGAGTTATGGAGTGTGGCGGACTGGATGAGAAGTGAGTTTGCTCTGTGTCTTTGCAGGATTTTAGATGCTCTTCCTGGCAGGCTGCCGGAATTAGAGAATTCTTAGGCCCCCAAGAAGTTAAAGGTATGGATATTCAGCATGGTGAGGTGTCAGAGATGGGTGAAGGAGACCCATGTGTTAGGTCAGTGGACTGAAGCTGCCCCAAGCTTGGGAACCAGCCCTAGAATATTTCTGAAGAAACGTCTCCAGACTAAGAGTGCTTCCCATGAGCATTTGCCACAAGATTGACACAAGCCCATGTGCGTGCTTGTGAAAAAGTATTTTGTGGGGTGATCTTTTATAATTGGGTTCTTACTCTTCAGATCCAAGATCACTCACCCTGCCCTTCTCTCTTACAAAAAAGACTAGGGCATAACATCAAGAGAGGTCTTCAGGTGAGCCTGAGCCCCTGTCTGTTGGATCTGTGTGATCTCATCAATCTCATCTTCCCACTAAACTTGGAGCCTCACTTTCCACTTTCTGTAAAATGGGATTAATAATACCTGCTGCCAACTATGCAGGGTTATGCTGAAGATCAAAGATAATAATGATCATAAAGAGCTCAAGAGCTCTGGAAATATTAAAATGACCACAGGAAGGAAGGAATCACTATTGCTGTTTTCTCCAGGGTTGTGAACAACTTCTATTAGACAATGCAATATAATGACTGCAAGCTTCACTTGAAGTCCTAGTGCTTTAGGTCAAGAGTTCACCATCCACCATTCCTGATTTACCATATCCTCCTCAAGAAGTCCTACTGGCTGCTTTGTAAGGAGTTTGAGATGAGATAGGCCAGCAGCCTATACATCCCAAAGAGTATGGTGTTTGAGATTTGGTCACCAGGCAATGGCATATAAAGTCCATTGGTGATGACCAAGTTCTTCCCTTGGGCCAGTCTGAGGGTATCACAACTAAAAACTCTGACCTCTGGTAACCAATCCAGCAAGGATCCCAAGTGGGAAGAGAATCAGTTCCCAAATCCTCAGACTCAGTTTCCCTTCAACCCTAGCAACAGCCACCTTTACACTTGAGAGCCCCTAGTCCACTGAAAATCACCATGCAAAAACATCCCCTCCTCCAGGGCCTCGGCTGCTCTCCATCTCAAACATAGATCACATTTACTGTGTTTGATGGACACAGCTACCTAGGCATCCCTTTAGAGTCAAGAAGTGGGGATTAGGCATGAGGCTCACACCAAGGTGTTGATGGTGGCGATTTTCCAGCCTCTGCTCTGATCAAGTGAGGACAAGTATTTATTTCATGTCTCCTTAAACTGTGGGGTGAAACATAAACATATTCAAGAACCCTCTTGATGTTTAGTGTTTCTTTAAAAAGAAAAGGAGAAGGGAAATGAATTGGGGGAAAAGAGGAAGGAGAGAGGGAGGGAAGGGGGAAAGAAACACTACTTACGCCGTTTGCAGCCGCATTTTTTTATCCTTTTGGGATCCGTGATGTCATCATGACAGGCCTTGCAGTAAAAAAATGCCCTGGAGAGAGAGAATGGAAAAACTGACACGTTTCATAATCCACCCAAGTGAAATGAGGACCACATTTCCTCCACCATGGTGCCAAATTAATGAAACACGCCAGCACTAATTTCCTTTAATCTTCTGAAAGGTTTAGACATTCATAGACGGAAATGTTTGTTGCAAGACCATTTACTTCAAACACAGGATTCTGCAATTTGAGTTAGTGCTTCTTTTCATAAACTTTTATTTGAAAAGGAGCTGGGAGAGGGTTTGCTGACATGACACACCACGTCTGCCCTCCCCTCTTTCATTTTGGAGAACAGTCCTCAATGCCACTCATCAGAACACGTGGGCAACCAGCTCTGGGCCCTCAGTGGGAGGTTAAATACATCCCTGACATCCTCATGGTCTGATCAAATAGGTATTAAAAAGGCACAAGGATGGCATTCCTGAGTGAAATAAAAATATCAGCCTTGTCACTTTGAAAGCACGTTCTCTTGTCAGCCAAGGTAAGCAAGGTAGAAGAAGAAGGGAAAGTCATGGGGGTCCTCTGTCAAATTCCTTCTGGGAATTCGCAGCCCATACTTACTCCCAAACAGGCTGGACCCTCTCCCACGCTCTCCGGACCTGAGAATACTGCATCAGTGAAGGTTTTCTTCTTACTAAGGAGCATAGTTCATTTGACCCAGGGATGGGTTGGGCAGAGAGTGTTATAGGGTTGGGGTAGAGGACTAAACCTGGGTAGAAAGGAGGAGACCCACAGGCAGCAATCAACAAGAAAATCCCCTCATGTGCCTCAAGCGTCAATACGTGATTACAAGGTGCATTGGCTGTATTGGAGATACTCTGGATGAGACAAAGCAAGGCCACTGGAGCACTGTTTAAAATGTACAGGGCCTGGAAGAACAGCACTGGGAGCCTGCACCCTTTCAGTACTGGGGAGGGGGTGGGTACTGTGATAGTGATGAAATTTACCGGAACAACCTTCTGAATAAGCAGACCAACAAAATTTCTGGCTCACCACCTTCATCACTCCCAACATACAACTGAATGCCAAGGATAAACATGGCCTTTCCTTGACCTAGGCTATAAAGAAACAAACACATTTCTTGACCATGCTATTCTCGGTTCCTTTTTGTTTCTCATAGGACTTCATTTATGGATGGCACTGGCTGGAAACCAACTTTAAGACTTTGGGATCTGGAAGAGATTGTGTAGATCTTGCAGCCAAAGTCCCTGGGACTCAGTGTCCTCATCTGTAAATCGAGGAGGTTGTCATGATCTGCGCAAAGTCATCCTGTCTAGACCTTAGCCGACTCCAGGACTTCTAGAGTCAAGCCCAGAGCTCTTTCTACCTTAGCAGCTCAGCCACTGCTTAAAATGCCAGTTCTCAACCATCTTGCAAAAAAAAAAAAAAAAGGTAGCGGATTGCTTGCCTGAGTGACAGTGTGGCTAAGAACCCAATCAGTGATGACTTGCCTTGAAAGGGGAAGGACAGGAAAGGAGGAAGCAATTTTTCTTTCATTTCCCTTGGACATTTTCTCCCCCATTTGATGTTTCTACACATAATAATAATTGTAACAAAAATGCATTTACAGAGCACAGATGATAGCTCAGGAGCTGTTTTAAACATGCTATAAGCATTAACACATTTAACATATTTGATTCTCAAACAATCCTTTGAAAGAGATATGATTATTATCTCTGAATTACAGATAAGGAAACTGAAGTACACAGAAGTTAAGTGGCCTGCCCAAGGTCACAAAGAGAAGAGTAGCAGAGCCAGGATTCAAATTCACACAGTCTAGTGCCAGAGCCCAAGGTCTTAACACATTCTCCACTAAAGAGATGGTGAGACAATGATGGGTGTGAATAGATGACTAAAAAGGTAAAGTATGATTATTTCATGAATTAAAGCTGGATTCTGAAAATGAAATATGCAAAGGGCCAGACATGAAAACTTGATGAGTGAAATGGGGGTGGGGTGGAGGGGCCTGAGGTGACCTGGAGACGTACCCCGCCCCCCCTCAGCCGAAGAGTGCAGAGTATCTAAGCTCCAGCTGATTCTTGCTAAGAGGCACTTCTCTGCACTTCCCCACCCATCTCTGCCTCCCATGCTCACCTGGCAAAGCCCTGCCCCTCTGTACAGCTGTACCCAAGCAGCTGAGCCTTGCTGGGGAGAGGAACACACCTCTGTGCCAACTGATTTCACTTTAAATCCATGGTTGGGCATGCCAGGGACCTTTTCACACTTCTCAGGATCCCCCACCTCGTACCTCCTCCTCCCATGTCAACTCTCTCTCCTCTCCTCACCACTCCCTCTCCTCCTCACCCCACCCCTTCTCCAGTTGGTGACCTTGCCCCATCTATCATCAAGACCAGATCTGCACCCTGCAAAGATGGCCTTTAGGGTCTCCTTGTCCTCAGGTTTCCTGTTGCGTTTGGCCAATGGGAGGGGCCGGCAGGAGACTGGAGGGTGAAAAGTGGTAGGAAATGGCAGTGATGAGATTCCTTTACTGAAGGACCCACCTCCCGCCAAGCAGTGTTTCCTACACCACCTTTCTCACCATGTTCTGACAGCCCTCCTTTGAGTCTGCAGATCCAGAGCTGAGAGTGGCTCCTGTCTGTTGTGAGCTCCGGGGTGCTTTGTCATCCCTTGCTAGTTTTCCTTAACTCTGTGCCCATAGCTTTATGTGGTCCCCTCATAAAACTCTCCTTCCTTTTCCCATTTAAGCATGTCATTTGTTTCTGGCCAGGACCCTCACTGTTATAGCAGCCATCCAAATGCACATCTCCAGCCCTCACTTTTTCCCAGAATGCCAGAATCTTAGGTCCCACTGGCTGTATGACATCTCCATGTGTATGTTTAGTGTGTATTGCCCACTTATCCTAGTCCAGATAGAATTATTAATTTCCTGCCACCCTGATCTTGCTCCTTTCCCAGTTTACCCTATCTTGGTAAGATGGAGCCATCATCCCCCCCAGGAGTGTAAGTTCCAGAGCTAGGCTCCATTCTTGATTCCTCTTTTTCCTCTCACTTCTTATATCCTTATATCATCAGAGGGTCTTACAGACTCTGTAAAATGTATTCTGAATTGGTCTCACTTCTCTCCACCTCTACTCACCAATGGAGCCAAAATTATCCTTTCCCACCTAAACTATGCAGCAGCCCCCAAGTTCATGGGCCTCCTCTCCCCCACCCCCACTACGTCCCATTCTCTACCATGCAGATGGAAACACCTTTTAATACATCGTCTCCAGCTTAAGACCATCCATGATTCCATGTAATAACACAGCCTCTGTATAAAGTCCTATGGAATTCAGCCCCCACTGTTCCCTCTAGCCTCATCTCAACCACTTTCTCCCCCTCGGTTCCCTAAACACAACAAAATTGTTACCACCATGTCTCCTCTTTCCTCTGATCCCTGTTCAATGGATTCTTTTTCATCACCTCCGCTCCAATATCTCTCCCTCAGAGCAGCCATCACTTACCGGCAATCTAAATCAGTGACAGTTACATTAATTCTTTGCATCATGAACAAACAAAAGTGCAATTCTCTCCTCCCTAGAATGTGAGCCCATGAAAGCAGTGTCTCCTTCCCACTGTTCACCACTGCTTCCCTGGCACCTAGTACAGAGTGTTCTCAAAAGCGAGTGACCTGCAGATGTTTGATGAATGAAGGAGTAAGATAATGCTTGGAGGGTTTCAACCCTCTTTCATAAAGCACTACATCAGAAAGTTTCTCTGAGCTACAATCCATTAACTTTTTCCCAACACTTTTTTGCAACGGAAGGTGCAAACTCAACACTAGATCATCATAATCTACTTTTCCATTTTACAAAATTTGTTTAGTTCCCTGCAAACCTCCAATGTCCTTTCTGTGGTTTTCAGTCCCCTAACTGACAGCATTTGCTCTTGACACATCACACACCACGGAAAATTACAGGCTGGTGTCGAGGCTGATTGTGTCAGCATGTATTTGTGAACACCATAAAGCACTGAGATGAGACATATTGTACTCCCTAACACAGGAGGTAATTTGTTTTTTGGACTGCCTGGTATTTGTGACATTCATTAGTGAGAGATGCAATAGGAAATAGAATCACCCAAATAGGAGCTTCATGTTATACTTGCTATCTGGGAGGTATTTGTGATCAATGGTGCGCTGTGCTCACAGCCCCCTATGCACAGTGCTGAGCACGGCTTCCAGCTGTTGTGTCTTGTGTCTAGTCAAAGGATCAACCTTCTCTCCCAGAAGACCCGGAGGGGCTTCAGTCCCAGTTAGCCTCGCTTTCCTCTTGCAGGTGACCCCAGTTTGGGGGGTACTTCTGGAAAAGGTGAGGCTCTATGAACTGGATAAGGAGCTTTTGCTCTTTCACCTGAATAAGGACAATCCTTTCCCAATTTGCAGAAGTAAATTTAAGTCATTAGATACCTCAGTCTCAAGGATTTTTTTTCTTTAGCTTCTACACCCCATTTTTTTTCCTGAGTTTTGTTTTTTTTTTTTTTTTGGCTGTACCACAAGGTATGTGGGCTCTTAGTTCCCCAACCTGGGATTGAACCCATGCCCCCTGCATTGGGAGCATGGAGTCTTAATCACTGGATCACCAGAGAAGTCCGCCTAAAAGCTTTTATAACTAGTAGGGCTAGTTTTTAAGAGAGGATGAAGAGGAATAAAACAAGTGTCAGTTGTCAAATCTCACAGGTCTGTGCTCAGCATGGCAGGTTCACCTCTCAGCAAATAAGAATGTAAGCTCTGGAATGGGACTTGCTGGTTTTAAACCCTGGCCTTATAACCCAGTAGCCCTGTGGCTTTGGGTGAGTTAATTAATTAATCTGTGCCTCAGTTTCCTCACATGTAAATGTCAGTAGCAACGCTCCCTGTCTCACAGTCTGTTGAGAGGATTAAATGAGTTCATCGGTGTCTGCTATCTGGAACTTGGAACACAGCTGGCACACATGGAACTCTGCAAACGAATTTGCTAGTGTTTCTAACTGTGGTCAACAATTTCCTTAGAAAAGGAAAGACCAATTCCACTTGGGCTCTGCTACTTGCTTATATGCTGCATGGCCTTGTACAAATCATTTGTCTCAATTTCACAGATGAGGAAACTGAAGCCTGGAGAATTTCAGAAGACCAACCTCACCAGGTTATTTTGAGGACTAGAAACAAGGACTGTAGAATACCCAGCACCAGCCTGACTTTGAATAGGAGGTCACTGGATGAAGACAATGTTCTTATGCTCAGTCGCTAAGTCGTTTCTGACTCTTTGTGACCCTATGGACTGTAGATCACCAGGCTCCTCTGTCCATGGGACTCTTTTAGGCAAGAATACTGCAGTGGGTTGCCATTTCCTCCTCCAAGAGATTTTCCCAATCCAGGGATCAAACCTGTGTCTGCTGCATTGGCAGGCAGATTCTTTGCCACTGAGCCCCTAGGAAGCCTAGTGAAGACAATAGGCTTAATATAAAAATGACACACCTGAACAATTCATCATTTATTTAAGATATTTTATGTAACATTGTCCTTGAGCTGGGTGACCTTTCTGACCATCTGAGTCACATTTTTCTTTTAGTAAATTTTTTCTAGTTACAGGCTAAAATCAAATACAACAATACTCCATGGTATTCTGCAGAAAGTCCTATGATTTCCTGGGCTGTTTAAACAGGTTTGAGAATATGAACAAAAGTATCGTGAAACACTGAGGCCAATGAAATCCTGGATTGTACCTACAGAGGCTTAAGATTAAACCTGACAAAGTCAGCCACTCATCCAGAAAGGCCACCAATAGAAATAGAGCCAGTTTGGCATTTCATCTGAAATTAATCCAAACTTTTTTGAGATTCCATTTGACACTTAAAGTAGAAAATGGAGACTTCTCAAGCAAATTTGCCTGGATAATGTTAAGAGCACTAGATGAGGGGCTATTGTCCTATGTTGTCCTGGGTCATCAGGAATTAGGATGATCTTGAACAATCGCTTAATCTCCCTGAGACACACTTTCTTCACTTGGAAAATGCAAGACCAGATATCTAGGGTCTCCCAGGTCTAAAATGTCATTATTCTAACTCAAAGGTATGGAACTCATTGTGTGATGAGGAGTCCATGAAAGCATGTCAAAGCACAATCTCTTTTTCCTAAGGTTCAGAACCATTTGATGGAAACAGACATGTTAAGCACTTCTGGGGTTAGGGCCCAGTAGACACTGAAGCAAATCTCAGTGCATGGAGATAGGTACAGCTGAGCCAAAAACAAAGGCAAGTGAAAATAAACTCTTACCTTTTAACTTCTTTGGCATCACTTGCGATGAAAAATCCTAAAGTACCTTCTTGGATCTTAAGATGGTTTCCAGGATTAATTAATATACTGCTCAGTGAAACAAAAACAAACAAAAAGACATAGTTATGAGGTCATGATCTGAAGAAAACTTTAAAGACTACACCATATTGTTAACTTTATAGGGGGCCCACTAGTCTAATGCTTTCCCCAAAGATTTTGTCTAGAGCCTGATCTCCACAGCCCTACACATTTAATTGGATGATGCCATCATAAAGTTCTGCTGCCAGGTTCCCAGGCTGGCACACTCCAGTTGCAGATATCAAAGCAAATCCAGATTTTAGGGCTGAGTTTGTACAATGGGATTGCCATGGGCTTCTGGTTTGAGGCAAAGTTCCTAATCATGTATTGTTTTGGAAATTACTGTTGATGGTCAGTGTTGAGTGTTATTGGTCTAACAGAGCTATAACTACACTGATTTTCCATTAGATCAGGGTATTAATGGGACCCCTATATGCATACAGAAACATACATGTATACACACCACACATTACTACAGGGAATGGTACGGGATGCCTGTAACCAACGTAGAAGCAAACAGCATATCTGCATAACGTTGATACGGATGTGGAAGTGGATTCCATTGCAGCCTAGGTAGAAAGAATTGCATCTACCCTGACAATGAGAAAAAAAAAAAAAAAATGCCAGCAATTGGAAATACTTAGTGATTCCAGTCTGCTGTTTACAAAAATGTATGGGAGTGTTTGAATAACGTATGTGTCTAGTATATCCTGATTGGGGCCAACTTGTAATTAGAAAAAACAAATGAAAATTATCCCTAAAAAAAACTTCCCCCATGGGGGAAGTATAAACCTAAATATACACTGTCCTATTTCAAAGTTGTATAAATAGATTAGCTGACCAAGCTGTGTTTGGACTGACAGAGAGATAAATGTATCCTAATCTAATAAATGGATGAAACAAACAAACTTAACTGTCTTCAGATCAAAAGCAGAATACAGACTATTTTACATAGAGACAGAGATGAGGCTTTGAGCTTAAGGGACACAGAATTGAGGCATTGTAAATACAGCACTAGATGCCACAGAGTTATTTTTTGATCTGAAAAGTTGGTGTCTATGGTAATAGATGTCTAGAATCAGGCTAAAGGAACTCCTCAACTGTCTAAAACAATTAAAACGGACGATGGCATTTAAGACGTCATCTTTTACTGCTGGTAAAACCATTCCAAAGTGCCGTGGCCAGCACAGTAATGCATCTGTAGCAAGACAGGAAGGACCCAGGTGAAATTTTGTTCTCTTTGGAGAACACAGAGCAGATCATTATTGCAAAATGTTGGCAGTCACAGAAGCATCGATTATTACCAATAACAAGACCTGACAGGAGGAAACCGATTCTGTGAGATCACTGTGATTAACACTAAATGATAGCAAGTGTTTATGAAGATTTGAGTGTTCTGCCCTAGAACCACAGGCAACAGTGAGATTCCTCACCAGGCAGGAAGCAGCAGGTCACACAAAAGCACAGTTTGCAAGGGGCAGGAGCTCCATACAGGCACCTCCTGAACACACCCTTCAGCCACTCTTCACCTTGGTTTAGCAGCCCTCTGACTTTTCACCATTATAGAGGAAGAGGGTCAGAACTTATCACAGTTTCAATGCGTCCCTATTTCAAAGTCAATTAAATGGGATGTTTTAGAAAAGCAGAAGGCTGGATTTCGCACACTTTCTTATCCTCATGACTGTGCTGTATGGCAGTTCTCCCGTGCCCTAGTTCTGCAATAAGAAATTGGGTCCAAATTCCAACCCCACCATTCAGTTACTGTCTGACTTTGGGCAAGTTACTAATCCTCCCTAGAATTCAACTTCCTCACATACAAGATGAAGATAAGCATAGTCTGTGTTACTTTTTTCAAAGGATTAAGGGAGATGATGCATAGAAAGCTAATGTATATTAGTTTTTTTTTATTGCAAAAAAGCCAAAAGTGTATTTCATTTTTAATGAAATCATCACTTTAGCTGGCCCCATAGAATGGAACATAGAACTTCATGCCAAAATACCTTGCCCATAATTATATAAAGTTATTATAGGGAGAAGAACTGTACACTCCAGAATAATATACAGGAATATACATGAAAATCCTGAGTCCTTCTGGAGTTTAAAGGAACTAATTCCTTGAAGTTGAATAAGCCTACATTTTGATGTGTATTCATATAAGGATGTAAAAGAAGCTTCTGAGTGAAAAAGAAATCCTATCGTAGTTTTAACAATGCAATTCAAAAGGGGAAATTTGACACTCATCAATGTCTAGGTGACATGTAGGAGCAAAACAAGCCTCACACAAAACCCTCTTTTTTTTTTTTTTTGCATCATATGCTTCATTAATTGCACTCCAGTGATCAAGCCCATTGTGTCACGGTTCCTATCAATGGAAAGTTTCTTTTCATTTCCTTTGTTCTTTAGCAACAGTGAATAAGAATTGGCGTACAGTGAGGATTTGGGACTGTCATTCTGGAGACAGCAGGTTGAGATAATTTATTACAGCCTTCAAGCTTGCTTTCGTCAAGTCAGTGTGGCGGAGAGGAAAGATTTTGGGCACTGATGTAAGGCACATTGGTGTTCAAATCTCAGTTTCAATGCCTGTGTTGGTTAAGGGAACAGGTGTGTGTGTCGGACAGCCAAGCTCAGGTCCTGGCCTTGGGCATGGACCTGCTGATAAACCTCACTCTCCTCATCTGTAAAATGGGGGCAATAATCGCTAGCTTACAGTGTCCCAAGAGAATTAAAGTACATAACATACATACTATGTGCTGAGGGGTCACAAAGCAGGTCCTTAATACATGGTCACTGTTATTAGTAAGCAAGGTAGTGACAACTAAACAAGAGCTAGACAATTTCTCAGAGCATCACTGCTCTCCGTTTGATCTTTGGTGCTAATGAAATACCTAGGAGGCATCTTACTGGTACTGGAAGACCTCTGTACTGACTGAGATATCCAAAGTATTTTTATGCCCATGCCATACCTGGAGATGGGCTCATCTGGACTGGCTTTTGGCTGCACAGTGGACTATCCCCCTGTTCTTTAAATCTTATGACTGATTGTGTAAGGCACTGTAAGCACCTCCAAGGGCATCACTGACTGTGTGATTCTAGGATGCCTTCTTGTTCTCTTTTGGACAGGAGGGGAGGCTTCACATCATCTCTGTGTGAGACTTAAGGCTGCATCATTTGCAGTATCCTGCTCAGGCTAAGGCAGCCTTCTGGGCGGGAATCAAAAGACTGAGCTCAGCTCTTGAGAATAATGAAGGAAAGACATCTAGATACACAAAGAAGTTTGTTGTGCTGGATTCCACTCACAGATTTAAGGGTTGGGTAAAGATGCATGTGCCCCTGATTTCAGGGGACCATTGCATATAATACTTTCTGTGTAAGGGTACAAAGCTTCAAAGTCTCTTTAAGGAAAACTATTACTCTTTTTGATATTTTAGACAGTGAGTCTTCTATCCACATTCCAAATCTAGAAAGTTTAAATCCATTAAATCCTGCTCTCTTTCAAACTATAAAAAGATAAGGATCCTAGACAGAAGTAACTTTTTTTCCTGCCAAATGCTTGCTACCCTTAGAATATGCTATTGACCTTCTAATGGGAATATGTAAATCTTTCCAAAGATCTTTGATCTCAAAAGATGTTACGTTTGTTTGGCTTTTATGACTGCCAAAAGTCTCCCTCCCTGTGCCTCACTTTAAATCGGCTTTTGCTCCAATTTTGTCTAATTCACTAGCTTATCAGAGATAAACTTCAAGATGTGTCATGTGAGGAATCAAGGAAATTTCTAAGAAAAAAAAGCCTATATATCAATTAGCAGAATTCCAATAGGGACATCTTCTTGGCAGGGGTGGACTTTTTCTTAATTCAAGGAACTATAAATGATCTTTTTTTTTTTCTATGACCTTGTTAATTTCAACTGAAAACATTCAGTAACAGCTGGAGACAAAGGGCTGGTGTGACCCCCTCCCCAGGGATTCTTACTCTCCCTCTCTTTTTCCTAGGTTTGTATCTAGACTTATTTCTTGGTTCCTTATACACTCTATGGAGCAAATATTTATTTTCTGTAGGGAAACCATAATTAAATAAAAGACTGAAAACCATAATCTTATTTTATTTACTTTTATAAGCAAGTTTCTCATAGCAATCAGCTTAAAGCCCTGCCTGCAATAGGCACATTTCAACTCTCTTGAATGAATGAAAACCATAAGCAGTGGCCTCAGTTACAAAAGTGTCTCTTTCCTTCTCTAATAAAGAGAAAGGTAGTCACAGATGTTCTTCCAAAGACCAAGCGGCAATTCTCACCAGTTGGGCCTATCAAAGGAGTGACCACACTCCTGGGGATTTGGGGCTTGACAGCAAAATGATTTGTTCCCTTTCTCCACAACTTACACATAACAACTGGGAAACATCTAGTTATCCCTTCTTCAATCATCATAAACTTTACTTGGTCGCTATTTTTGGGGACAACCAAGGATTAGTCATTCAACTGAAACACATTTTTTTAAAGCGAACTTTTTATCCATTATGGATAAATATGACAGGTATGTATTTCTCTCCTCCCTCCCCTCAATTTTGATAGGTGTAGCGTACCATTCCCTGAGCAATTACAAAAATATCACTCACATGAGAAAACAGTTTGTACTTGATAACATGGTAATTATATCTGTGTCTAGCAAGCTAATGGGACTTCATGAACTAGAGTAAAAAGATAAGGACCATCTAGCACTTTAGTTCACGCTGTGCCCAGATGAATCATGCCACTGGGGAGTGATCTTTCTGACCACACAAGGTCACAGAGATTGCTATTAGATGGGACTTGGTTTGACCAGTGGTTGCCCTGCAGTTTATGGGCTATGTTCAGGCACAGCCTAAAGAAACCCCAAATCACAAATCTTATTGCCTTTCTGGAACTTTTCATTTCTTCTTGGGTTTAAAATATATTCTGCTAGAGTCCCATACAACTGAACACATGCATTTTTCCTATAAAATATATGTAAGGGCACGGTGTGTATTCCATGCTTCAATATGTTTGAGCCCAATTCACTCACACAGAGACAGCATCATAAAGATTGCTCCCAGTTGGCCACACTCAAATGACCACCTCTGTGGTCTGCCAGTGACAGGGGCAAGGGCGTGTTGAGCCTGAATCCATCTCAGTAATTTTAGAAATGTCATTTTAAAATCTATTTTGCACATAAGGAAAACAGGAGGCATACGGGATGGGAAAGAGAATTCATTTGGGAAGGACCATGCTGGATATTTGGTTCTGGGAGCAAACCATGTCACTTTCTGATACACTTCAGGACAAGTCATGCCTATATCACAACATGCCTCACCACAAGATAAAAGGGCTCAAAGGCCAAAAGCCAACAGCAGGGGTGCAACCACTGTGGACCTTTGAAGATGCAAAGTGTTGCAGTAACTTCTTGCAGTTGGATCATATCAATAATACCAAACTGACAGGAAGCCACCTCTACTCAAGAAAATCACAGAAGAATCTGATTTTGGAAAGAGTGTCAGATAGATAGTTACACACACACACACACAATTACAAACAAAAACACACGACAGTGACTACAACCACAGAACAAAACAACTCTAGAGAAGATGAACAAGGAGGCGTCTCAATAGTATGTTTCAACAACACTGTCTTTGAGAAAACAACACTGCAAATATTAACCCAAAGAGTTGGGGGGAAAAAAAAATCTATCGATGAGGATTTGGTCATGCTTCGTGCAACGTAAAACAGCGGCAAAACAGGGTGAGGTCACATGGTGGAAACTGAGATACGTCATATTAAGAAATATGCCCAAACACACTGGGAAGAAAGAGAAACACGAGTTCATCTCAATAAACAGTACTCATTCAGTAAATCAAATGTGACGACCTGGCAATTGAGTAGCAACATTCTAAGTCTGTACTGAGTACTGGCCCAGGGAGAAAGTACGTCAAATGTTACCATCAAAATTAGCATAAGGAAAGAGAGCTAAGTGTAAGGGCTTGGTCTCTGTTTTGTGGACAAAAGGACACACATTTGTCTCTACAAACTGGAAGCCAGACACAGGGCGGAGGAGGTCACTGGGAATGTGGATGTGGTATGCAGACAAACGGCACCAAAACACATGAAGACAGGACAGAAACAGACACCAAGGGCTGGAGAGAAGCATTCTCCTTTGTCAGCTCTGCGAGCATTTGTTCCCATCGCTGGTGCCATGACTGAAAACAGGATTGGGCCTTTGTTTTGTGTAGGTTTCCTGCAAAGAAGTTAGTGCATGATCCAAAAGAATCAACAAATCAAACAAGAAAAGCAATATGCTACTTTCAGTTTTGATGGACTCTGGTTGGAGAGAAGTTTGTATATAAAAACACATATATACACACACATATATATATGTATATACGGGGCTAGACAAGGGAATGAGATTATATATATGTATACACATATATATAATCTCTATCTTCCTGAATTCTTGGCAAAGGGTTAGTCCTGTGGTTAGACGTGAAGACGGAGGGTGCAAGTTGGGAGGAAAGTTAACGAAGAGAGCATACCGCTTTCGGCTTCTGCAAAACGACAAGAAAAGAATTGAAAATCAAACAATTGGATAATCAATTGACTGACACCAGAAGGAAAGAAGGAATAAAACCTTTGTTTCAAGTTATTTCAAGGATGCATGTGAAAACAAGGTTTTCTGGCAATGCATGGGAACAGTATCATGGGGGTGAAACAGTAACAAAGGAGGCAGTTCACACAGGTCAGAGGCACGGGGTAGGGGTGGAAAAGAGAAGTGCGGGGTGGTCCTCTGACTTTTAACACCCAGTCACTTAGGAAATGGGAGAGGAAGGCAAATGGGACATTTTAAAATGGAGAACAAAATCAAAATGATTATCTCAGGAAGGGTCAGAAGCTCAGTCCTTTTTAACACGGATATTGTGTTTGAGTCCTGTGTTTTCTCGGAGGCATGATCCACATTCCCTCCAACACACCTTTTTCCACAAGAACCAATGTGCTTCCACACTGAGACCAAGCCACGTTTGAGGATTAAAGCTGGCAGCTATACACAGAAAGCTAAACCCAGGTCTTATCGGTTCTTTTCTCCCTCTTCTGAAAAAGGAAATTCTAAAAGCTCCCTGTATGTACAAATATGGCTTTGTTGAAAACATCTCTGATTTGTGAATTAATTGGAGCATCTATCAAATAAAAGATTGTGCCTTCAGGGAGAGCACTGTGTTCTTTTTCTTAGAATGGTGACGGTGGATTCACATTGAAACCGTTAACAGTCTTTCTCTCTCCCTCCTTAGTTAACAAAAAGTGGCAGGTGGGAGATGGCTTGTTAAGGTTCAGGGTGCAGTCTCCTGCCATGGAATTATTCCAGAATGGTTGAGAAACACTCTTCAGCATCACCCACATGATGCCATTTTTTTTTCCTTAAAGGTGCATAGAAGTGATAGAGAACACTAAATTATACAAAGATTTACTAACTTGGCAACATGAGAATATCATTTGCAGAAACCGAGGATACACATTTTCCCCTACACAGGTACAGGGGTATATTGGCAACAACCTGGGCAAGCAACAATCCCAGAAACATCCATTTTATCTGTTGAACAGCAAATAGCCAAGAACTCTTGGGTGTTTTGCAAACAATATTCTTCACTTTGCCAGCACAGAGAAGAAAAACATACATCTACATAAATAGTTGTCAACTGCTAAGACCATGGTCTACCATGTGGCCACCAAATCTACCATTTTGTCTTCCTTTTGGTTGATTTGGATATTCAAAATAGTTTAATATGTGATCAGATTGACTTTGTGAGCAATCTGATCTGGTGGTTAAGGTAACAGAGAACATTGGATTGACTGGCTTACAATCCAGTGTTTGATTTTGTTTGTTTGTTTGCTTGTGTTTGGGTCATAGAGACATGGGCTACATATTTGAAAGTCTGGCTTTACTGAGTCATTCACTCAGAAAATGGAATCTCCTTAAATGATGATAGCAGGAACCTTCTAGTTTTGCCCCGCAATTAGTTAATAAGGCATATGTTGGAGGATATTTCCACCATTCCTTTGGACACCTACAGGTAAACTTTTTAACATGGATGTCAATGCAAGGGACATAAGCCTGAGCACTTCTCAGTAAGCTCTCCTTCTTCTAAAGCTATTGATAAGAATTGAGGAGCAAAAAGTCATCTCTCTTTTATCTGTAATGCATCCAGTACTCTAACAAAAATTCCTTGTTAATGGCAATGCTTCCTCCTTCCAGCACAAACTCATATATTGACTGGAGTGTTATCTATTTCGACCAGACCCGGTCCCTCATCAGTCTGATTTGCACATAATTAAGTACAAAATAAATAAATAAAGAGGGCTCCTGCCTCCAAGCACTGTTCTCTGGGCTAATTTACATGAAGCTGATATTCTGCCACCTGGATTTCAGTTGCACCGGGAGAAACACATATGGTACACAATAGGCTGCTGTAATTTGGCTCCAAGAGAGCTGTGATCTCCCATCACGGCTCTGCCCCATTCCTGCTTTGAAGGAGGCCAGAGTCCACCTGCTTTTTGCTCACAGCAGTAAACATGAGTTTAAGGACAGGGTCTGTGCCTAGTTTTATATTTAAATGGTGAAAAGTGTAAGTTGGTGTGATCAGGTGGAGATCTGGATGCCTCACTCCTTTCCCTAGAGAAACAGTCTCTCCAGTGGGGTTTGGGATGCCAGGTGTGTCTGGGATAGAAGTGGCAGGGTCTAGTTAAATATGCCTTGAAATGTGACTTCAAGTCAGAGAAGTGCTGCATTAGGGTTCCAAGCAAATAAATAACGCATTAAGAAGTGAACCGAATGTTCCCAGCCTGCATGCTCACCATCATAAACGTCAGCTGGGCGCTGGGTCACGGCAAACTTACCGGCTCTCTCGATTGGCGGACTTGTACTCAATGGCTATCATGAGAAGCTTGAGCTTCACAAAACACAGCCTGCAATGAGACGGAAAGTGCTTCCCAGTCAGTGCTTCCAAATGACCAGAGCCACACCACAAACACTGTTACGACCTTTCCATCTCCTGATGCGGGCATTATCCAAGGGACCCCTATTTGACAGTATGTGTGCCAGAGGGAGGGGGCTAGGAGCCACACCTCCCCATCCTCCCCATTAAACTTGATTTCTCACAAGTGATAAGGTGCTGAATGTTCAAAGTGCAAATTGCACTCAGGTCTGGATGTCTAGACACACACCCCAAGCAGGGATTTCTGCCTGGGGATTTATGTTGGGCCAGATTCATTAGTTACTCGGTCGGGTAGTAAAATGTTAACTGCAGGGGGAGGGAGGTATTTGGAGCAGCTGGACCTGTTATTTGGATTCCATTTCGGTCTTTTGTACAAATGGCTCATATTGTTGTTCCGAGCAGACCCCTGTGCGCCTGGAATGATGGTAATAACCCTTAGCCTCCGTGTAAGTGCCCAGCACATGATGACGGCACCGCTACTCCTGGCTCCATCCAAGCTCTCTCACCACATCTGCTGGGTGCTCCTACCCGCAGCCCAGCCTGCATGGAGGCTGGCTGGCTCCTGCCTCCAGGTCTTCACTCACACGGTTCCTACCCCAGAAAGCCTCCTCTGCTCCCAACCCAATCTCCAGGCCCAAGTCAAATTGGACCTTCCATGTAGGCCTTCTCAGACTACTGTCTCTCTGATTTTCTACCTCAGAACACCTCCAGCACCTTGCGTGCAACCACATCGTTTAGCCCTTAGTTGATTTTATACTCGCTGTGGTTGCCTCCTACTCTTTCATGTGTCTGAACTTTATCTCCTCAACCAGTACAACTTCTTCAAGAGTTATGGACTTGTTTGGAATTCCCCACAGTGCTGTACATTGAACCTGATACAGAAAACTCAAGAAATGAATGAGTTCTGCTTACTCGTGTTCGGTTTTAAGAGAACAACAACAAAAAAAAGTTCAGTAAAATACTTATGCATAAAGATGCTCATGGAAGTACTACTAATACAGAGGAAAAAAACTGAAAGTAACCTAAATGTCCAATAAAAAGGCAAAGATAAAATGGCATACAGTATAGTACTAGCATTCAAAATGACTTTTTGAAGAATTTTTCAAGGTAGATCAATGAATATCATCTTGTAGGTACAAAGATGTAAATAACCTGATACAGTGAAAACATATATTTGTAAACTCACAGAAATAAAGGCTCACATAAACTAACAAAGAATTATATACATTATGTATCACAAGTTTCCTAAATGGGCATTATCACTCATGCTTTAAGGACTTTTAGATAGAAAAACATTGGTTCACTGATAAGACTGAGAAATGAGTTGATGGTTATTCAGCTTCAGCACTATGAGGGGGAGAAGGTGCTGAGTCACAGGTCAGGCTCTTGGTGTTCTCATTTCATCCCCATAATATCCCTAAGAGGGAGATATGACCCCAGTTATTCAGACTTCCATTGGTGTTTCTGGGCTTCCCTGGTAGCTCAGTTGGTAAAGAATCTGCCTGCAATGGGGGAGACCTGGGTTCAGTCCCTGGGTTGGGAAGATCCCATGGAGGAGGGCATGGCAACCCATTCCAGTATTCTTGCCTGGAGAATCCCCATGGACAGAGGAGGCTGGTGGGCTACAGTCCATGGGGTCGCAAAGAGTCAGACACGACTGAGCAACTCAGCACACATTGATGGTTCTATTTTACAAGTGATGAAACTAAGGCTCAGAAAGCCCATGTAACTTGCCCTAAGTCCCAAGCTCATACCTGGCAGGATATATAACACCTTTGTCCCCAGTGAAGCCTATTTTATATTGGGGTAGATAGGCAATGAGCAAATATACCAGTGAATACATAATACATTTCCAGATAAGGACAAATACTGTGCAAAAAATAAAACACCTAAGAGGTTAAAGACTAACTAGGGAGGCGCGTTATCTGTGATGGTCCAGGAGGTCCTATCTGAAAAGTAAAACGAGAGCACAGAGCACTGGAGCATGATGGGAAGGGGCAGGCAACGAGGGGATCTGGGCAAAGAGCTTTCTAGGGGGTGGAAACAGCAAGTGCAAAGGCCCTGAGGTAAAAAGCAAGTCACAGTGTTTAAGGACCAGCACCACAGCCAATGAGGCTGCAGCTGAGTGAAAAGAGGGACGGTGACAAAGCGAAGTGAGCAGTGACAGTAACCAGGCCGGGGAGAGAGGTGGGAAGAAGACCACGAAGGCTTTGCCAGCCACAGCAAGGAATCTGCAGCTTATTCCAAGTGGACTGGGAGGCTCTGGGTTGGTTCTAAATAGAAAGGGGACATCACCAGATGCACTGAACCTGTGGATGTGGCTTGCAGGTAACGTGCTGGTGAAGGCCTCAGGCTCTCTGGTGGGAACAAGGCCAGCTGTTCATTCCTGCCTGGGAAGTCATGGTCTCCCATACTGCTTTCAACAGACAGTCAGATTCCAGAGGACCACTTGCATCCAGGCACTTTTGGACTCTCCCGGTGATTTGCAGGTTTTCTGATTCCTGCCGGCAGACTCTAACGACCTGGGCTTTGTGCTGATTATGCAGGTTGCTGAAACACCAACCCACATATCCAACTACAGCTGGAAAAGTGCTCTTCTTAAGTTATGTTCCATATAGCATCACACTAACACACACCGTTTATGGGGCTGTTACCTCTGGAGCTTAAATTGTTTAAAATATCAGATGGCTTATGCAATATTTGCTGAAATAAATTACCAGATTAAGTAACCACTTTTTAATGTAAATAGCAACCAAGAGCCAAACTTGAGGAGAAGGCTGATCTTAACTCAGTACAGATCATGAAGAGACTGATTTGCTGAACTCCTTCGAGCAATAGCCACTCCCATTTGGGATTCTGATGGTTGTTGGCATCAAGGACCTTAATTGCTTTAATGACCTGATCATATTGGTGATAAGGGAAGAAACAGTTCATAGTTAGTTAGGGTGAATCATGTCTGCCTAGCTACTACAATACCATTTTCCAACTCTATATAAAAAGAAAGCTGCTTTATAACTCAGAAAAGTCACTAAAATCTACATAGCTTTGTGCCTATTCCTCACCTAGCCCAGGGCAGACCAGCAGATCTGAGTCTTCTTTTGTAACTTTCAAACCCATATCTAAAATGATTCTATGTGGGTGTAGAGAGGCCTCTTTCAAGAACTTTTTGACTTAAAACAAGCCTTTGTTCACTGGCCAAAGGGACTAAGAAGACAGAGACTGAGTGATACAAACAAAGTGCTCACAGGAGATCTTGGGTTCTGTGTTTGGGTCCAGGCCACCTCAGTAAAGCAGTATCACAATAAAGCAAGTCACATGAAATTTTTTCTTTCCCATGTTTACACCATACCATGTCTATATATACTATATATATATGTCTGTATATACTATACACAATAGCAGCATAATGTCTAAAACATAATGAACATATTGTAATTAGAAAGAAATCCACTGCAAAAAAAACAAAAGAATTATAAGAGTGACATCAAAGATCACTAATCACAGATCACTATAACAAATATAATAATAATGCAAATATTTGAAATACTGTGAGGATTAGAAAAATGTGACACAGAGACATGAAGAGACCAAATACTACTGGAAAAATGAGATAGACTTGCTTGAATAGGCTTGCCACAAACCTTCAATTTGTTTAAAAAAAAAATGCAGGGTCTGCAAAGTGCAATAAAGACAAGCATAATAAAAAGAGGTGTGAGTGTAAATGCAAACAGTGTCACAACCATAGATTTTTCAGACTCAGGCACTTCAAGATTGACCGGCCCTGCCCTTCTCACATGGAGGACAAACAGGTTCTAAGAAGGAAAAGCAACTTGTTCAAGGTCAAGTGGCTTTTAAGAAAAAAAGCCAAAAGCAGAAATCAAGCAACTTGTTCAGGATTAAACAACTTTCACGTAGAAATGTCAAAAATCAAGTCTCAGAGCAGTGTCCTACACAGTTACTTCTTATAAAAGCAAACGAAATGAAGTGGTTGCCAGAAGCCCAAAATGCAGACATATTCTGTTTGGTCCTACAGCATTTAAAAAACAGTAACAACGGCAAACAAAACACTAGAATTAGATACCAATAAGTGATTTCACATAAAAACTAGCTTTCAGTTTTCCTTCAAAATCAGATCTGGCCATATTAGGAAGTGCTGCATTCCACATGGCTAAAAGGAACTGGACTTCCAAAGCACTTACACCTCTGGACAGGACATGTGCTCTCCAATGTGCCACAGTCCCCACCACTCCCTAAGGTCCCAGACCTCCTCTTTCTAACTGTCTGTTGCTGTCTGTCCCCTATAGGCGTTGTTGTAGTTGTTCAGTTGCTCAGTCGTGTCCGACTCTGTGACCCCATGAACTGCAGCATGCCAGGCTCCTCTGTCCTCAACTATCTCCAGGAATTTTCTCAAATTCATATTTATTGGGTCAGTGATGCTATCTAACCACCTCATCATCTGCTGCCCTCTTCTTTTGCCTTCAATCTTCCCAGCATCAGGGTCTTTTCCAATGAGTCGGCTCTTTGCATCAGGTGGCCAAAGAGTTGGAGGTTCAGCTTCATTAATAGTCCTTCCATTGAATATTTAGGGTTCATTTCCCTTAGGATTGACTGATTTGAACTCCTTGCAGTCCAAGGGACTCTCAAGAGTCTTCTTCAGCACACAATTTGAAAGTATCAATACTTCGGCACTCAGTCTTCATGATGATCCCAACTCTCACATCTGTACATGACTACTGGAAAAACCATAGCTGACTATATGGACCTTTGTCACAAAGTAATGTCTCTGCTTTTTAATACACTGTCTAGGTTTGTCATAGCTTTCCTTCCAAGGAGCAAGTATCTTAATTTCACTGTCCGCAGTGATTTTGGAGTTCAAGAAAATAAAATTTCACTGCTTCCACTTTTCTCCCTTCTATTTGCCATGAAGTAATGGAACTGGATGCCATGATCTTAGTTTTTTGAATACTGAGT